CAGATCAGCTGAGATCTGCTGCTTTGCCACTGCTGGATGTAATGAGAGGAGCCTTCTACATCTGGGATCTTCCACCGGGGTTTAGGAAAATAAAACTGTGTTAACTTCTGTCTAGTAAATCCTGCTGTGGTGATAGGGGTGGGGGCAGTGAAATGTTTTGTCCTGGCGTTGGTTTCTGACTGAAATAAATCACCTGGTTTGAAGCTGATTGTAACAGGACTTGTTGGATTCATTCAGCCACACTTACACCATGCATAACCTGCTTGTTAAAGCTGAGCAGTGTTGTAGTTCGGGACTTGCACTGCACAAAAATGCTGTAAATTGCTGCCCTTTTAAAATTTTATAGTAACTATCGACTGTTGCCCGTCTTCCTGCAGCTTGAGTGCCACAGGGGATGCACTTCACTGTCATTCAGAGAATCCATGGTGCTCCCCTGCCAACTGCAACAGCTTTATTTATTCATTGGTAGTAATTTTTACACAAGTTACTAATCTATTTGCTGCTTTGGCCGTATGAAAATTTTATATGGCTTTTTGTTTTAAAGAGCTGGTAAGCACTGCAAGTGATGTTTCACGTGTAAAAAGCAGGGAACAAACTCGGGTGTTCCAAAACTAAGTCAGTTAATTATTTAATAATGTGCCTATTCTCTTCTTAGAATTAAAAATATTATAAAGCACTGACAGACTTCAACCCTTAACCTAGTAAACTGTTCATCAGTGACATTATAATTGCTGTAATAACTTTAGTAATGCTTATGATACCTTAGTGCTATTAGCATGGGATGAACTGTGCACTGGTTACTCAGTATGTGGAGCAGAGCATTTGGAAAAGTGATGTTTGAAAGTGGCTCTGCAGCTTCCCTGGCCCTGGAGGGAGTTCTGCAATGCCAGCCTGGAAACTCCATGTGGATAGAAGAGCAGGGTTAACTTCTTCAGTTAACACTAGATTTGAATTAATTTTCAATTTCAATTGTATTCTTTCAGAGCAGCTAAATATGTATTACATAGGTCATAGTCATAAGCTCACAAAAATAACAGATTGCCAAAAAAGGGTGAATGAATAGTTGGGGTTGGTAATAAACATTATCAAAATCAATTATAAGACTAAAATCCCACTTTTTGTGCTTTCAGACAAGCGGGGCTCTGCAGAGGGGCTTGAAGGGGCAACCTGTAGTGTGTGTAGCACTCGCTGATGCACTGGAGCTCAGACTCTCTTTCCCTCTGGGCTTTCAAGTTTGCCTTTGCTTTTGCTAACATTGGATAAAAGTACTGAAGAATGTTTTGCACTGTTACTCTGGGAAAAGGATGAATATGTCATCTCTCCCTCATAGTACCAGGTTTTACAGCCCTGTACAAGGTGCAGAATGGAAATTAAAAAAGGTTCAGCCCCTATGATTCACTGGGATAAAAAAACTACTGGGGTTCCACAGGTGAGAGGCTCCACCTTTCAAGGTCCTTCTCTTTTGGGCAGATGCTTTGAGCCACCTGAGCCCTAACTGCTGCATAAGAGAACTGAGAGACCTCTTAACTCCTGTTTCTAGCCTGAGATTAATGAGTTCACCTCTTCTAGAGAAAAGAGCAGCAAAATTGAAATTACAAAATAATTCAATTCTGCTTCATGGCTATGGAGTCCTGGCAGCCCCCCAGCCCTCATCAGAACTTGGACACGATCTGTGTGTTTGGTGGTACCCACAAAGAGAAAACTGGACTCTCTCAAGTGACAAGAGATCACTTTCACAAACCAAAGTGTAGCCAACCACTCTCAGGCACACTGCGTATTAAACAGCAGCCTTGCCTTCTGTGGTTATCCTGGGAAACAAGGGGTGCCGGAAACCCCTCTGGCGTGTTTTGCACAAATAGTGGCTGTTGATTTCCTTTAGTCATTTCCTTGTTCCTGCCATCCCCAGCACCCGGCAGAACGTGCCAGCAACAGCCGTGGGCCTGCTCCCGGAATGCACGGCTGCACCCAGAGGCACCAGGGGCCTGTGCTGTGAAAATGGTGCACGGAGGAAATAAAACTTGGTGTCTTAGTACATTTTAAGCTATGAATTTCATCATTTCTCATCTTAGTTGTGAGCTCTCAGCTGTGAAATCCTGAGTTTTGATGAACTAGACGTGTTACTGTACTCTGTGTTTGCGGAAAGCAAATACCACAGATTTCTGACATTTGCTTAGGATTTTGAAAAGGTGAAAACAAGAGCAAGGCAAGAGTTTTGGGCTGCAGGGCTAGACAGGAATGCCTTTCTCCTCTGCTGAGATTAGAGGGAAATATACCCATAAAACAAAGTTTTACAAAGTTCCAATCAGTGATGTAATTACTGAAATGCTTCCTTTGTGGAAGGAATGCTGTAAACAGCTTTGCAAAAAAAACCCCAAAAAAACAACTTAATTGTGAAAGACTGAAAATTTTTCAATGCATGTTCTAAAATGTGGGATTTAATTAACAATAAAAAGAGATAAAAAAGGAGGAGAGATTCAGACCCCAGGTTGTTTTCTAAGTATACCATTAAGTACACCATTGGTTGCATATAGAGAAGATGGAGTGAAAAACAAACAAAAGAAATCTTGTAAAAGCTTAACAGTTTTTTTCAAAATGCAGATTCATCTAAAAAGATCAGTTTTCATAGTTTAAAAAATGGGACTTCATGGAGTACTCCTACTCCAGTTAGGACAGTAGAGGGAATTTGGCTAAAAATGAGCTGCATTCAAATTAATTGTTAAACACCAAACTTCTTTGTGGATATGAGTTTAACTTTCCAGATCCACTCTGGAAGATTTAAAGAGAAGCAGCAATGCAGCCAGCAGATGCAGCAGGCTCACTGCAGTCACATCCAGAAGTTTCTTCTTCTTCTACTGAAAAACGGGTGAGAACCTCCAAAATTGCCATCCCATGGCACAGTCTGGGTGCCAGAGCACAGCCAGTGCAACTGCAGCTTAGTGCTCTGCTGGGATAAGCGGGGTCCTAATGAGAGGAAAAATGTATGGAATGAAGTTGCAACATTCTTTTCTTTTTCAATTCAGGCGAGCTGTGAATGCTGGGCAAACCCTGAAATGCCAGAAATCTTCCAGCTTCCCTGAACATCTGCTTTAATAACACACACTTCTACAGACACACTTCTGTGACTTCAGATAGCTTCATTCTTCACTTCTGATATTGGTTTTTAATAACTCAAAATTGCAACTCATCTTCCTCGCAGAGCTAACAGATGGGCTATTTTTGTGTGTTTTACTCTTGCTTGAGCTGGGAAATTAGTCTTTTTAAGTGTCCCTTCCTGCACACAGAACACAGAGCTGGGCAGAGCACTCCGGGTAGCACCAACATGTCCCCAGGCAGTTGTGTTTGAAGCAGCTTTGCACTGAGCTGAGCTGCTCTGCAGTTTTAAGCTCAGATTTTTCAGCATGGCTAAAATCTATATAAGCGTATGAGACCTACACTACCTTTAAAGAATCTCAGCTTGACCCAAAAGCAATACTTCAGAAACACTTTCCTAAAAGGCTGAGCTGCAGCACCCCCTCATAAGGCAGTGTTTTCTGCTGCCACTGGCACAAGCTCAGCTCTGTGCTGCAGCGTCTGCAGTGCCTTCCTCAGTAACGAGACAGTCACAATGGCATGGTGGTCACAAAACCAGGTTTCTGTGAAGTTCCTTCTAGACCTGTTTTTCACCCTCTGGTCAGCAGGTTCCAGGACAAAAGGCAGGAAGAATTCCTGGTCTGTAAGCAGCAGCCAGTGCAGTCTCATTAATCAAATGATGAGATCGTTCATAACCAGGTTGGATGGGGCTTTTGAGCCATGGGCAGGGACACTTTCCACTTGACCAGGTTTCTGGAGTGTGCTCTGTTATGCCTCAATGCATATATGAACATTTTTACCCCTTAAAATGTAAGGTCCTCCTTCACATAACTCTTACAGTGGCACATTAATAGGTTCCTCTCAATTTAAACCCTTAAAAATGAGGGAAAACTGGGACTCTGCCTCAGTTTAAACCTTGACATTCATTGCAGAAGAGTCAGGATCTCATTGTAGAGCTCCACAACAGGAAGGGGATGGAAACCTTTAAACCTGGAGCTGCTGATTTAATTTGTACACGCAGCCTTTCACTAGCCCAGAGTGGCAGGGTTTTTGTCCCAGCCTGACAAGCACACAAGGCTTAAGTGTCAACAGTATGTGCATCAAGGACACTTGTATCTGACACTTGCTTTCAAGCTTGGCAACCCCTGAGGGGACACTAAGAACTGCAGGGGCTGGGAAGACTACACAGGGCAGTGGAGACAAAGCCCAGGGGACAGTTAAGTGCTAAAAACATGTCATCTGCTCCCAACAGAATCCCCCCTCCCGCTCCATTGATCATAAAAACACTCCGTGGGCCATCCCTTGTTTGGTGGGGACGCACAAAGGGGACACGATGGTGAAGGAGTTAGTCAAAACTCAGAGCTAATAACAGCCAGAGCAGACAAAGCAGGACTTAAATATTAATAGCTAAAGTACACAAAGCCTACTGTAACAATGTTATTAGAACATGACAAATTCCAAACTACAGACCTGGGCAAACCAGGCCAGGAGGGTGCGATGCTGTGCAAGACAAGGGTCACTTAGCACTGAAACACCGAAAACCACCAAATCAGTAAAAAGCATGAAGACCCCAGACCTCAATATTATCACTGGTTTGAATCATTATTATTGTATAGGTATAACTGCCCAGGAATTTCAGTGTTCAGGTTCCATCTTTGGAGGCACCCAGCTTGAGCTGTGATGCTTCCCTAAGGGAATCTTTATCCTTCAGGTTATGTAGAAACCTCAAGGAGAACCCTGTTACGGTGCCTGTGATTTCCATAGAGGTTTAGAATTTCTGGGGAGAAAGGGCAGGGAGAGGCAAAAAAGACAGAAAACCCTAGAGAAAACGTTAGATTGTTTGACTGGGAGACCAAAGAAAGGGTAGCAAGGTGCAACATTTGTTTTGTTTTTAAAACAGTCAAGTACCAAAGTCTTCAAAATATAAACGGTTAAACTGCAAAACTGTGGCTTTTATTTCCAAACATACAATAAATAGGTCCACCACAACTAGCCTCTAACTTCATTTTACATGGAAGGATTTTAAAATTAGTTTGTGCATATTTAAAAATTAAACTTCCCTTTGCACATAATTCCATACATAACCGAACTGCATTACACACCAGCTCATGGTCTTGGCACTGTGACACAAGCAACCAATTAGAAACAGAGCTTTGTAGCAAGGACTTGAACAAAAATTGCATTTTGAATTGTTGATAAAACATCTACCAACAATTTAATCTTTCTCTGCAGTATACAAAAATCTTTAGTATGTAAATGTTGAAAAGTGAGTTTTCTTCTGTTTCCGTAGGTGCTGCAAGGTAAGTGGATTTATTAAGTGTTCACTATTTGCTACATGACACGATTTTCATACCAAAATATCTTTACTGCATAGTAACACTCCATATTTTTAAATGCAAAAAGAAATTAGATGCAGTCTTTTTATTTTATCCCTCATCACTGAATTTAAAGACTTTTTTAACCACAACTCTGTTTCATCACAGTGCAGAAGGCCCTTAATATTTCAAGGATTTATTCAGTCATATTTTTAATACAAAAGTAAGAGGCTGAGGAAAAGCCAGAGTAGTCTATACACAATGCACAATCTGTGTACATTCTGAAGCTGTACCTCTTCAAGAACTATTTATACACTCTTCAAACAAATCCCTTTATCCAGCAATTCAAAATACTTTAGATCAGAAATTTTATATTAGAATCAATACAATATATGCATATAAATACATTTATACCCTTAGGTTGCTAAACAACCCAGATGGCTGCAAAGGATGTGACCTGAAATGGTTCTCCACTGGCTTGGGATACCAAATTATATCGGCAGCTAACTGTTAACCAAGAGAGTCACAGTAAAAAATGGAGATCTTTGCAAAAGGTAGGTGTGCCACAGCATCAGTTAAGACTAGAAATACCAGGTGACACCCTGGCCCCTTCAGTAGGGCCAGGATTTCAACTTTTGTGAGATGCAACATAGAGGCAACATTTTTTTCCTCTGCCGATGCTCAGTTCGTGGAAAGTCTCAGCAGAACAACAAAAACCCCAAAAATACAAACAAACCAAAGCAAAGCTTTTACAACTGCAAATTTTCAAGACAGGTGCTGCAGCTTTTAAGAACAAAGTAAAAGTTTTATCATTAAAAAAACCAAAGAGAAAAAAAAACAAAACACAAACCAAAAAGTAATGTGCAAGTGTGTAATTCAGAAGACAGTAGCAGGGATGGACATAGACCTCAGTTCAGGCTGAGACACAGCATCCAAACTGTCTCATGGAAAAACAGTTCTCACTGCAAATCTCGTCTTCAGCTAATGAGTGTGTTTATATATCCTTATTCACACACCTGCCACACGTGCCCCTCCTTCCCCAGCACGGTCTGGGGCAGCAGCACGATGGTTCCAAGGCCCAGGTGGCCCCGGGGCCGCATCCCTGTGGTCAGGCCCGGAGCTCTCCCGGACGCAGCTGCACGGCAGGACTGAGTCATCGGCACTGACTCAGCCGCGGGTGTTCCAGGAGCACTCGTGTGTCGCAACAAGTGTTCTCAGCTTTGTTTCTTAAAGGACACAGAAATGGTTGACTCTCTGAGTATCCTCCAAAGGTGCTAGAGGGTTTTTTAAGTTTGAAGCGTTCCTTCCCGCAATGCCAGGTATACAAATGTGTATCTTTTTAAATAATATTGCACATAAAAATCATCTTAAAACATTGTAGTGAAAGCAGGGTTGGAGGACAGTGTTTTCCAAAACAGAATAAAAAGCTACCTGTACATAGTAAGTTTTAATTTAAAGAACGCCAAGATTATTCAAAATCTAAGCACATAATACTGACAGAAAAATGTTAAATTGCACAATCTACATATAAATTACATTTGTAAATACTTAAAAGTTTTTAAACATTGAATACCCTTGATTTCACAAATCAGCTAGGTCACTGTCAAAGGATCAGCTTAATGAGTTAGAAGTACTTTCCCCCAGAAAAAAAAAAAAAGAAACAAAAAGATCTGCAGTCTTAGATGAAGCACTGGAAAGAGTTAAAGCATTTCAGCTCAGAGGTAGTGCTAAACACATCCAACTAGAAGTCCATTATATTTGAACTATGATGAAATAACGTAGTAAAATGTAGAAAGACTATAAAATTTACAAAAATAAATAGTTCTGAATGTTTTAGAAAATGCAAGAGACTTTGTTGGTAAGTATCTTGATCTGCTTTTCTGACCAAAAGAAAGCAAAGTGTGTCTCATTTTTAAAATATACCCATCTCTAGTAATGTGTCTGCAATCCACACGATCTAACTCTGCAACTTGACGGATGCCAACTTGGCATAGACTCTGATATTAAAAATAAAGTGGAGGCTTTGTAAAAGATCATCTCATATGAAATTTGCTTTGCATGTAAATTCTTCTGTCAAATTAAAAATTGCACATAAAAAAGTTTATTGAAAGAGGCATGAGGGGTGATGAGGGTATGTGCCTATTGTTCCACATACACCCTGGAAGGAAAATGATGATTGCACAGTTCTGATAAATAAATATTTCTTTTTTAAAAAAAATCTGCCACTTTTTTGGTTTTTAAGTTTTGGAATTATTTAGAAAATCCTACTACAGACAAATTGTTATGTAGTTTTTGTCTTAAAGAATTCTTTACAACTTTTCCAGTGGCTTTTATCCTGAAACCAAATGAAAGTGGCAGTTAAAAAGTATCTTTGGGTAAAACAAGTATCAGGATCCAACGAGAATTTCCATGATGTGGTCCAGCTCACTGAGATCTGTTCTACATATCTGAATGTTGCTTGCTGAAGAAGAATTACAAGATGGAAAGGTTTTCAATGGTTCTTCTGTAGCAAGAGATGGTGATCTGGGCGGCATTAGTGGAGGGCAACAGAAGTCTGAATCATACATTGAAGTGTCAATATCTTCGAAAATGTCATCTATTGCCAAATCCTTCAAGTAACTAGTTGAATTTGAAATCTCAAAGGAACCAAATACACATTCAGCTCCCTTCAAATCCTGCCTATCATCTTCTAGTTTCAGACCAGTATTCTCTGGAAACTTTGGCTGGTCATCTCCAGAAGGAACCAGACAAGTAGGAGGGCTTATATCTTCTACGAAGTCTAAATCCTTCAGAATAGATGAAATGGCAGATGACATGTCATCATCTGAAACTATCAGCAGGCTGTTTTCAATTGGGTCTTCTACAGACCGCAAGTCGCAACAGTTGGACTCTTGCTGACTAATACCTGAAGGCAACTGAAGAGAAATCCCAGATGACTCCATCCCTGGGTAGCTGTGAGAACTAGGAGTAATGCCAGGGCAGATGTTAACTGGCTGCTGGTTACTCTCCTGTCTCATTTCCTCTTGAATTTGCCGCACGGTGTTGGCGATGAGGACAGAGCGGTGCAAGTTGGGTTCCACCAGCATTTTGTACGTCTGTAACTTGGTGAGGCACATGTTGAGCACCAACTGCCTCTTAAGTGGATATGGCAGACTTCGACTGGAATCAAAGGCACTCGAGAGACCAGCCATGTTCTCCTCATAGTCACTCAGCTTGCGCTTTAGACCTCTCCCCAACATGAACCTGGAAGAGAGAAACTGTGAATTAACCTTGGGCAAGATTATCACCTCTACAGACAATTCTGAAAACCCTGTATTGGTTAACTTAAGACTCTGATGTTATACAACATCAAGAGACAGAACGAAATCCTACTCAGTACTACTTCCATTGAAAAGATGCACTTTCCAGCTATATTGTTTCAGAGCAACTTTTTCTTTTTAAAGTGAAAATATGGAAGAAGTAGAGTAATTCTTTTTTTAAAAAGCTATATACCTCTAAGTTTTGTGTTTAAGGTTTACTTTTAACTCCACTATGAGAATATGAATTTAATTATTTAAAATCTTTAATAGGTGAGCTTTTTGGCCTTCTATCCATTTAACTTATATAGTGTACAAAAATTCATAAATGAGAAACATCTGAATGTCTATGTGAAATAAAACAGATGCTTACACTACGCATCATAACAACTATACAGAATATTTCACCATTTTCATTTTAACATTTGTTCCTAGGTATAGTAGTTAATATTTCAAAGCTGGTTTTCAACACCCATTTTTATGTCATGAAGGTATTTGTGATGTCTTGCTCGGTGTCTCTGAGAACTCTCCATAGAACTAATTTTTCTTCTTTTTCTTTGGTGACTTAAAGTTGTTTGACTATAGTTGAACCACCCAGCAAGACCAATAGCAGGGCCTCCCATGGGATCCTTTTATCCATTCCATAGCTGAGTAGTTTGGCTAAATGGTGTGAGGAATCTGGCTGGGCCACGGAGCTCACAGAGCAACAATCAGCGCTCACGGCTGCTGGTTCACAACCTGCTACTGACTTCACACTAAGGACATTGGGGAGGAGGCTATCGAATGGCATTTTAAAAGTAATTTGCCAATTTTGGCAAACCAAAGAAAAGAAGTAGAATTTACTTGCTTTCAGTCTGCTTTGTGTGCTCTTGCATTGAAATATGGTGGGTCTAGAACATTGTGGTACAAAAACCTGTACACTCACCCCCCCCAAAATACAGGCAATCCAAACAAATATCTGCTTGTGTACTTTGCAATTACCATTCCAAATCTAAAGTGTTTCATTAGGGACAACAAGCACTGTGCAATGACTTGTATAGAACACAGAAAAAGACGTATACTGTGCACAGGAAACACCGGTAAAATCTTGGTTACACACAATGCTGACACCTCACTGCCAAACAATTAAAAAAAATTAAGCAATCATAAATTAGACACCCAGTGGCAGATTAAGGGCAGATCCTTCATACACAATGATCCAGACCCCGCATGCTGCCGAGGGCCTCCCAACTTCCTTTTCATGTGAGCACTGGCTACTGCCAGCAACAGCTCAGCTGATGGCCGCAGCTGCCAGCTGCTAGCCTGTTGCTAGACTTTTGGGGACAAGGAGAAGGCAGCAGGATAAAGCCTCCTTTACTTTCAGGATTTCTCCAGGAAGCACTGCAGGGCTCCGTGGCTGCATCCATCTGCCTCGACAAGGCTGTTGGAGAACTCAGCTCCTCCGGAGGAACAGAAAAGCAAGCAAGCAGTGCCTCCTCCTCAGTAAGCCACAAGAGAAATCAGACAGCTGCCACAGGAGTTTAGGTTTGAGACTTCTAAATTGTACACTTTTTTTTTTTAAGGGACGTACCTGGATGAAATTCAACTTTTCCTGAGAATGCATTTCTATTTAACAGGGAGTAGTTTGGCCTATTTTAAGTTCACTAACACCGACACTCTTGAAACAAAAACAACAACAGCAAAACCTCACCTTTAATTACTCGTAATTTTACCAGTGCTGTGCTTTTAGACTTTGGAAGTCTGGTTTTTTTCTGAAGTTTTCTGCTAAACTGCCACAGCACCAGCTGAATGTCTTTAAAAACCAGAAGGTGTCTGGACGTGGTGTGCCTGTTCACCCAGGTCATCTTCCCACACTGATCACGTATCGCTCCCTCATTCCAGCACCCCATTTAGAGCAGACAGAACCAGCCAGTACTAAGCACTCCATGACAAACGAAATCAGAAGAAATCTGGATATAAAGTTCAGGCACGAAATATAATAACAAAGTATTCTGGGGAAGCAGTGTGTGTGTCAGGCATCCTCAAACTACTGACAACACTGTCAGTAACTGATAATTTTTGACACAGTCTATGGAAAATCACAATTATGCAGGACAAGTAAACTGTTGCTAAATATGCCAACCTTCATCATGAAAGAATCAGTGCCTGCAAATCACAGAAAACTCACAATAAAATTGTTAACTCTCCATTTTAAGTAGCATTTAAATGTTGGGCACCATCTAAAGCACTACCTCATAACATTACTATAAGATGGCTATTTATTCACTAAGTACCATTGTTCACATACACTGCATACTAGGTGGTTTTATTTTTTTTTCCTCTCCATTAATTAAAGCAAACCAAAATTCACACTCATAAGGGAATGAAATTACAACCATATAGGAAACAGTAATTCTGATATTTCATACATTCAGAATGCTTGGATTTGATAATTTACTGCTTTTAATATTTTTAAAAATATATATTTACGCTTTGTTAGACACACAGGACATATTATTCTTATCTATTTGAATTATACAAATAATGTTAATTTCTTACATCTCAAAAACGTGCTAGTATTTAAATTCTGCAAGCAAGCTTAAAGAGCAAGCAAACTAGCATATGCAATGATGTATAATTTCACAAAAACAACTTAAAATGACATGTTTGACTTTTCAATTCAAACAGTAGCCTAGTTAGATTAAATACTTCATGCTCATATAGGCAGACACCCTTCTTTTCATTGCTCAAATTTCCTTCATAAAATTTGTCCCAGAACATTCTAGAAATATGTAACAATGCTTGAGTTTGACAGCACTCGACTAGAAAAATGAAGTGCAAGAAACATAATTTGCTCCAACTTCAGAAAAAGTACTTAACATACTCCCCACTCTCTAGATGTCAAAGATGTTTTTTTTTTAAAATACACAAACATGACACTACCTTATGTATAAAATTTCTGTCTGTTTAACATGATTTTTTCCTAATTGCAAGGATCCCTAACTCTCCCTCCAGGAGCTAAATGACTTCAAAGGCTGCACAAAAATTTGGAAAAGGCTAATAAAAACCAGAGTACTATTGGTACAGCGGATTTAAAAATGACTAGTGCCATCGTTGCTACAGGAGACATTAAATTTCAGTTCTTGTCAAACACACTCAGCTGCTGACCTACAAAAGACACAAAGCCCCTTTGTTACCAGCTAATCTACATTTTATCAGGCCTTTTGCTTTACTTTCTAACACAAGGATTTCTGACAGGGTCAGATCCTTAACAAACTACTCCGTATTTTTTAAGCAGCTTGTCCTTTTCTAGCACTGTGTAGACATCACATCCCAAACCCAAAACTCACGCTCTCAAATGCTCTCTTTGACAGCATTACTTTGCAACAGAAGATGCTGATCACATTATTTAGTTATGCAATGCTCACCCCACTTCAATTTTGGGCAGTAAGGAGAGCAAACACACACAACCCTACCCTGCCATGCCCAGAGCACGAGCGGCTGCTGCACAGTGTCAGCCCTTCCATCAGCTGACACAACAGCACAGCCAGTTCACAGGAGCACAATCTGGGCACACCAAAGTACAAAGAGTCTCTAGAAACTGCACTCTTCCTTACTCCAGCCCAATTCCTGGAACCTACTCTGATTTCAAAAGAAAAAATGGATCAAGTAACAGGATTTTGGAATGTGCCAATCTGATAACTCTGTAATTTGTAAGTAAATAAACTGAACAAAAATTAAAAGTTTATGCCAACTTCAAATGGCATACATTGCTGTTCAATTATAAAAGCAGCAAACTGCAAGTCACCCTTTTCTTGAAGCCTGAAAAAGTTCCACAACCAAATTTTCTTTTGAGTTCAGATTATCTATTTTAGAATCTTTTGTCGTGAAAAAAAACAGGAACAATTCGGAACAACACATCTCAATAACTTTTTTTCTGAAATTTTCTCATCTTCTCTGATTATAGTAATGCAAACTGAGCCACAGGCCATTTATGGCAGAATGCTTTTTTAATTAAAATTACCTTGCAGACACAGAGAAAAGGAAGCGGAGTGAACTCAATATTTAGGAGTACCACACTGTCTATTCACATCACTGAACTACAATGGAGTCTGCACGTAGAAATTCTGCCCCTGACAGCATATTCCTCAGTTTCTTCCAGTCCTCCATGGAGGACATTTCATAGAAACTCCTCCCTGCTAAGATGGGAAGAAGCATCCATGCACTGTAATCCTACACCACACCGGGGTTTGAAAAAACTTGGGAGGGAAGAGGCACGTCCCTGGTTGGCAAATCCACACAGAATACCAAACAAACAGGCCTGGCCAGGGTGCAGCTTCTCAGAAGAAACATTCCAGGCTACCAAGAAAAATTCACATTGCGACGTGCCGTGGACAATACAGGGCTCGTGCCACCATTTCAGCTCCATCTGTCACAGGGTCTGATAGCACAGCACAGCTGCCACTGGCACGTGGTTGGGAAGTACAGCTGGAAACAGTCTCGAGGAATAATGAAACGTGAAAACCTTCAATTACTTCTATCTGAACAAACTACTACTTAAAAACTTCTTTGGAAGATGAGGAAGAACTGAAGAGCAAGTTAAACAGTGCTTAGAACCCAGAACCTCACACAGCTTAAATTTTCAGCAGAGAAAAGCTTCAAAAATAATGAGTATATCAAACATGACTGCCATGGTCAGTATTGTGTGAACATGAACTTTTCATGCACAAAACAAGCACTGTAGTCAACTACAGAGGAGTTATTACTGTACCATTAAATAATATGTTCAAATAGCAAGATCTTCAATAAAGTACCTGGCCTTCACCACACAGATAAAAATAATTTAATTGATAGTGGTCCCTTCTGGCTTTTCTTTTTAGAACATTACTAAATTCAGACTTGCTTGACCCTTTCCATGCACCAACACTGTTTCATTTTTCAGCCCAAGACTGTCTCAAAGTGAAATATTACTTTTTCTTGTGGGACAGAAATACCAGCTCTGCAGAGATGTAAGAACCTCATGAGTGAAAGCTGCCTGTCCAGTTTTTAGTAATGCAACTTACGTATTAAAATCAAAATTAGAGACTCCTTGCTACTGTAATTTGGTCAATTCCCTTTCAAAGTCTCCTTTGTCTCATAACTGTAGAAGCCATGTAACAGTAAACCCAGGCAGAAGTGTCTCTGGATTGTAGACCTGTGTTAGTGGCTGACCCAGGCTGGCTGATAACCTGACGTCCTGCTCTCCCCTCTCTTCCATGGACACATCTCACAAGCACACATCTATCTGCAGGAAGTGCAAAGGAAGACAAACATCCCAACAGTTACAGTTACTTCCCAGAATTATTTGATGTATGCTGCATACTGTTTTTAATGATAACCCTTCCCCTACCTGACACACAGCTTAGGCAACGCAACTTCGTGAATAATTTTAATTAAGTGGCGGACTGGCTGTTGACTCGTATACCATATTTATCCACGTATATCCACGAATATCCAGCTGCACAAGAAAATGGGAAGGCTGAAGGTACAGTGAACAGACAGAGCACAAATCCCTTCCTCCCATCCGGACTTAGCACTGATCACTTGAACATGACTTACGTAACACAGTAAGCTGTCAGACCACACAGAACAGTGCATCTGATCTGGTGTCCTCAGCAAGTGCTGGAGGTCCCCACAACATCACATCTTGGCTGCCAGCAAAAATTCAGAGGAGGTGAGGGAAGGAGGATTTAAACACCTTAGAAAACACCCAAACTAAAAAGTAATTTGGACCTGGAGATAACTTTCAAACATATAAAAATGTATTCAAGTCCACTGCCTCCCCACCCCCCTCAGCCCTGCCCCAGTTTAGCCAGGATGAGTAACTGTTGGAGAAGGCACAAGTGACTAAAAGTGTGCATACAGGGAGGAGTGCAGTCCTACCAGCTTACTCCCATACCAAAACTCCTATGCAACAACTTCTTCACAGGAGTTAGAAATTACCAGAAAATAGCTGCTCAAAGAGAGGAGAATTAATGTCAACTTCTTGATCAACAAATCCTGACCTATAATACACCCGTGCCTGTTACCAGCAAAGCAACTGAAACACAGAACCAAGATATGCTACTGTTCAGACTTAAGAAATCCCAACAAAACCAATATACAAACCCAAAACCAACCAAACACACACCAACCCTGAAAACAAAACAGAAAAACTCCCACACCTAAGGATTTTCCCCACATTTTGAAAATAAGAGTAGGCTGAATAACATTCATTAAGTATAGGAAAGGAATGAGAAGAAGATCGAGTTTAGCACAGAATTAATTTATAATTCATAACGTTCCCAGTGTCACTATTTGTGGAAGTAGAGAATAAACCTGTATCATACACAACTATTTTAGGAGCTGAAATGAGGTTTATGAAGCACTTTGGAGTAAGTTTTACCTTGATTTCAAAGTTGGTTTGAAACCCCCAATCTGTTTGAAACCACACAATCTGTTTGTTATGTCTAATGGGATCTGGAAAATTCCTGCACTTAAGGACATCTTCCTAAGTTCCTTACTCCCATTTTATTACATAAAGCACTGGTAAGAGCTTTGCTTTACAAACTGTGGCAACTAAGTTTCAGAGTACAGAAGTTTCCTCTGGAGAAGGAACTCCTCTGTTAGGATGTGTACTTTCCACGCTAAAACGAGTGGATCCAGGCTGTTTGCAACAGCAGATGAACCATATTCTCAGCAGCTGATATCTAACACTGGAGGCTGAGAGAGAGCTGCTGAGGGAGTACCAGTGTTGCGTAGAGAAACTTCCATCCTTAAAAGAAAACAAACTAAATCACTGTCACTCTTCCCTGTCACTTGTGCATCTCGTTCCACATCTACAAATAAAGGTCACAGGTGTACATTTGTGTGTTTAGCAGACTTTTTTTTCCCAGAGATTCTGGGTGGATTTATTTTTTTTAGAGGAAGAAGAGCCTGGAATCATTTAAACTAAGGAGCAATAGTCGTTGGCAAAAGTTAATACGTGATCAAGACTTACCAAACCTAGAATCTCCCACAGCAAAACTAAACTGTAATTAAGTGAGAACATAAAGGAATCACAAAGGAAGCAACGAGAACTGAATCACCACCATTCCACCAAAGCATCCCACTGGAAAGGCAAAGGATCATTAGAACTGCAAGTGTGATGACAAACCTCTTCAACTGCTCTAGTCAACTGAACAGTTCTCAACCTCTTTTGTTTACAGTAATTCTTTACTTCAAATACAGAGATACTGGATGCATTCACCTATGTAATACTGACATATATTTTAGGGTTACAGTGATCTAAAAGATCAAGGAAGTCAAACCTTATTAACTATAAAAATTGGCATCCCCATACTATACCAGAAAAAATGGACAATTAACAGTAAAAGCAACCAAGAAAAAAAGGCTCTTTTCCTGATAGAGGACCATGCCTTTACTCTAGCTGTCTGTATGGGGTATTTAGGTACATAATTTTCAGACATCACTTTGAACTTTCTCTCGTAACACACAACTTTACATCAGCATCCAAAGTGCTGCCTTCTCACAAGACACGATCGTAACACAATTTTAGCAGTTGAACAGTGGATCTCACTGAGACATTGAGGCCTTAGTTAACAAATTTCCAAGAAAAATGTGATCTTATGGCAATATGCTTTGCTAAATTATAATAATTCCTCATTATAATGGAAAAAGAAAAAAGCAGTAATGCAAATTCAGAACACTCAAACCAGAGAGCTTATATGATTCACTAAGTCTAAGCACTTCACTTTATATTCTATACCCTTTTTTTAAAAGATGTTTTTCAGTTTACCATTCTAACCCACAAACAACATCTGCAGCCAATTATCAGAACGTGCTCTATGCACATAAGATACAATTTCATAAAAACACACAAGTAGTTACCCTCAGAAAACGGAAAGGAGTCCAGGCAGGAAGATTCTGGATTTTGCATAAAGTGTGGTCATCCAAGAGTCTTGAACTACCCAAGAGGCCAAGCCATCCACCGAGGTAGGATGATGTGACTTTAGAGGAAAAAGAAAACAAAACCAGAGCGTTTCATTACTGTTGTGGTGGTTTTATTTTTTTAAACAAGAAGCATTGAGCACACAATTCAATACAACTTTTTAAATGATTTGTGCTAAATCCTATTAAAACAGATAGACGTGAACAAGAAAAACTGAAGTTCATGAATACACTGAAATAAGAGGAACCTAAGAGTTTCACCTATAAACACATGAAATGTGGAAATTATCTTTCATAAATGAGTACTACAGAATGCTGATCCTCTACGTGTTAGGCTTTAGGATAAAAGCTTGCACTGATACTTCTTCAGGTTACTGAACACCAATTTACATTTGCAATCATCTCCAGACTCAGATAATCAGGAGATAATACCATGCACTGTGAAGAACTACATTTCAGAATTACCCCCTAACACTTACAGGCTGCAAAAGCAGTTAGATTTTTATTAAATTCCCTAACTTTCCTCATTTTCAGCATAAACAAAACCAGTATGAGAAGATGGCTGGCAAGGTATCCTATGATTGCATCTAATATTCAGTATGGCAAAATTTCCATCAAAACCCTGATAAAGCAACATCTGCAGTTTGGCTAGAGACCACATGGATTAAATCATGGATTAGCTCAAGGCGTTGGAAATTCTGGGAAATGTGAAAGGGCTGAAGTGACAGCAAACTATGGACTAGGCTAGGAGATGTGGAGGGAATCGCATGATCCATGCTCTTGGGGTCTCACCTCCACCTAAAGAATTAAACAGTTACTAATTCCAAGAATTAAAGCCCTTACATAGGCTAACAGCCTAGAGCCAGGATTGGACCTAACATGCCTGTTTGTGCACAACACACACACAGACACCTGACCCCCTCTACAGCAAACCACTTCACAGACGTACCACAAGAGCAAGGATCAGTACTATCCAGGTCAACACAGTCCTTCACGATCGAAAATCAAGAGTTCATACATTATTTCACAAATCTGAGAATAATACATAGTGAAAGGCAGTCTTACATTGAGACAGATGGGCAAGTAAACGCCTACAGTTCATCTTACATAGCAACTCATAGCCTGATGCTACCAAAGGGCTCCTCCGCTTACAGAACCTCGGAACTGTAAAGATGCAGTAAAACAGCAGTAAAATGCCGGTGACCTAAGAAAGCCAAATCTAACCCACAGCAACAAACACATTAACATCTCCCTCCTCCTCCTCCTCCTCCTCCTAGAAGCTGACTTCTTTCCCATTATAAAGAAATCCATGCTATTTGTAAATTAAAAAAGCCCCGAACAAAGAGACAAATGAAGATTCATAACCTATTTGCTCTGAAACAGCAGGACATCAGAAGGTCACTATTGAGGTTCATTAAAGTGCACTTGTTAGGTCACAGGGAGAGGTGTGCAGTCACTGCATTTTCTATACACTGAATATAAAAGAACATGTTTTAGAATGTGAAGTCATTTAGCATTAAAGAATCCTAAAAAAGCTAATAAACAAATTAAAATGTTGAAAAGTTTCAGACTTTAGCACCTTAGCTAAGAAAAAAAAAAAAAAGGCCTGAAGCAGTACTGTTCGTTGGATTTTAGAAGTCCAATCTTTTGCTAGAAGGAGCTAAAGTCAAGAAGTTATCAAATTTAATTCCTTTATTATATACTTAAAGGACTCCTGCAACAGTAACTGTTGAGGTTATGACTTCTTCCCTGTATGATTTCAGACTGGGATGAGTGTCAGGAAGAAGTACAGAGGTAAGGTTATTAGGTTTAGTTTTTCCAATCTGTTAGGCAAAAAAGAACAACTATAGAAGACACACAGTAGCTGTAAATCACTATGAATTATAACTCTAGTAGATTAATTTTTTTCCCTGTCTTCCCTTCCTAGTACCTGTTTAGGGGTCACTTTAGAATTTTGAGATTATACCGTTCATTTCAATGTTAATGGTATTTTTCACATTGCAGTCACATGCCTGAACTACAGAATTTTAGCCACATCAAAAATAAAGCAGAAAATTACCTACGTTTTTGGAAACGAGCTGTTCCAACATAGTTTGAAAAATTCCAGGCCTAACTAGCGCAGAAATTATTAACTGCATCTACTAGCGAGATTAATCTACAAAACGCATAAAGGAGACCGAGCTTATTCCCCCCCAGTCCTATCCACCTGCTCGCAGCCCGGACTGACACACGTTTTACTGAGCCAAACAAAAAACCTGCTATTAAAAAACGTAACTGCAGCAGACACACAAGTCGCAACTACCGAGCGGCAGCGATCGGGGGTGCCGGGATGGACACGCCGGGGATCCAGGGGAAAGCCCTTTCCTGCCGCCCTCCCGCGGGCTCCTGCCACCATTTGGCCTTTGTGGAAGGAGCGTCGGTGCTTCCTGCGGCCGCCCGTCCTCCCCCCCTCCCGCCCCTCCCGCGGCCGTGGCAGCGGTAACAGAAACAACCTTGGCTTCCAGCTGCGAAAAGTTACACTCCTCCCCTCTCTCTCCCGCCGCACAGACCCCGGCCGGCTAATTTATAACTTGCGCGAACAATCCCACCGCCGCCCGCGCTGGGAAGCTCCCCCGCCCCGGCGCAGGTCCCCCGGCCGCAGTGCCCGCACCGCGGTCCCCCCCCTTGCCCTCCTCGCCCAGCGCGGCTCCCCGGGGCCCGACACCCTCCACCTGTCCCCGCTTCCCCTCCGCCCTCCGCGCTGTCCCCCTCCCTGCCCCCGCGGCGCCCTGACCCCCCTCCCCCCAGGGCCCCCCCGCCCCGCAGGCTCCCGCCTCGGCCGCCCGCTCGTACCCCCGTGCCCTCCCTGCCCCCTGCCCGCAGCCCCGCGCCCTCCCGCCCGCGTCCGGCGCCCCACCTGGAGCGGATGGAACCTCCTTTCGTTCGCAGCCGGCCGGCTCCCTCCTTCGCGCGGGCTGGGGATCTACGGCGGAGGAGCGGAGGCAAGCGCCACCCCCGCCGGCCCCGGCAGGCTCCGCTTCGCCCTCCCTCCGGCCGCGGCGCTGGGGTGGAGGGGGCTGCGTGCGCCGCGCCGCCAGCTGGCGCCTCCCATGGCCGCGCCCATTTCAACTTTGCCCGGCACCATTATGCTGGACGGCGAGGCAGCGAGCGGGACTACCTTCGCCTGCACCGTCCAATGAGAACACGCGAGAGCTCGCGAGGCGCGAGGAGCCCGTTCGCCAATGGAGCGCGCCGCCGAGTCCCGCGCGGCCCGGCGCGGCGCTCCGAGGGCGGCCCGCCGACGGGGGCGCCGGCCGGCCGGGCCCGAACCGCGCCTTAGGCTGGAACCACCGCGGGTGCACTGTTCCAGCCCGGACACAAGCGCACAACCACCTCCTCTTTCTTTTTTTTTTCTTTTAAATTTTTTTTTTATTATTTTTTTGGTGTGAACTCAAAGCTCGTCTGTGACCAAAACTGCCAAAATTTCAGCAAAAGGCACGCCCCAGGGCCTCCGTAGAGCAGCGTTCCTACAATTCCCGGTGCCAGGGCTGTTGGGAAACGAGGCACGCACCAGCCCTAGTGCTACGTCAAACATTGCACAATCCTTCCATGAATATTCACTCCATTTTTTTTTTCCCTTCAAAGATGGGGTGGGTTTGGCCATGCTCAAACCTCGTATTTGCTTTCCCCGGGCATTTGCGTAATCAAGTTACACTGGCACGAGTGTTTGTACAAACCAGATTTCAAAATCTGACGAAGTATTTGTAAAGACAGATTTTGAGACTTTTGTCAAACCCTGCCATGGGTTGGTTGCCTGATGCATCCCCAAAAAGCTACTCAGCTCTTTGAGAGAAGGGTTTAGACCAATCTACAGCACAGTAAAAACAAACTAAACTCAAACACGTTTACACAGACACCTTCCTACACTGAAGGGGAGCACAGACCAAAACACACAAAGGTTCTAAGTCGGTCTAATAAATATTACAGAAACACTTGAAGTTGGCTGGTGGAGATACACTACAACTTTGATGAAAGATCAGCTGCTTTTTGTGATTATTCAGATAAAGAGAACTGATTTTTTTTTTAAAAAAAACCCTCAGGTCCAACATATTTTAGCCCTTGTGTCCCCTGACGGGCACTTGTGACAGGGTAGGAGGGTGCAGGGCCCAACCTGAAGGGCAGCGAGGCACAGAAAGCCAGAGCTGACCCCGTAGTCCCTCACTGGGGGTGAGGGGACCCTGTCTCCAGGCCACCTCTCTCCTGCAGTGCAGTGCCACCGATTCCCGGGCCACAGCTGTGCTCTGACCTCGCTGCCGGGGGTCACGGAGCACAGAAGGGGAGCGAGTGCTGCTGCAAGAGGCATTAATGAATCCTTTTTGACACGCTGCTGGGGCTGTGTTGGACGGGAGGATGCCTCCCCGAATGGCTGAGGGGTGACACCCCTACCCCCACGGTCCATCTGCTGCACCAAGACCAGTGTCAGCACTGAGAGGGAGGAATGGACCAAAAATCCACCCCACCCCCCCCCTTATCCTTTCCCTTCCCAACATACACTGCAGCTTAAGTGGAAGAGTAACTCAAAGATGTTCAGGATTCTTCTGTCTGCTCAAGTCAGCCAGGGACAAGCAGGAGTATTGCACCAGGACCGACCCCTGCCATATGCTAGGGATTATCTCCAAGGAATAGACAACAGATAGGCATACAAAGGTAGCTGATGCAGAAGGGACAGATCTGGAATCTTTATGTCTAATGCAGCACATACAGGGGTAGCTGAACCAGCAGCACCACCAAAGTGTCCTCATAACTTGAGCAAAGACTAGGTTTTGTAGACTTGACCGCCATTGGGGCAGCTTCACAGCACTGGCACAGCCCTGGACAATTCCTCCCTCTCCACAGCTCCAGGGAGCAATGCAATGCCTGAGCCTCTGGTGCAGCCATTCTCCTCCTGTCCAGCAGACCTCTCAGAAGGATGCCAACACCCTGCTCTCCCCACTTTCTTAAGTGATTGCCCTAATGTGGTCAGCTGTTCTGTCACCAATTTTTGTTCTGTGCAACAGAAAAGGGTGCACGTGCCTTCTACAGCGGGTGCTTCTAGAAAGGGCAGTTGTGTTTCAAACGTGCTCTGACAAGAGCTATGAAAAAAATGAACCTGGAGTTGTTTGAATACACACATTAGAACTTTGGATTTATGGCTTAACATTTGGAGAAGTTGATAGAAATGACATAGAATATGCTGATTATTTGCAAAGGGTTTGGTGTTCTTTTTTTTTTTTTTTTTTTTGCTTGTGTCAACAGTGGGATTCATGTAAGGGAATTGGAAACTAGTTCATCTTGGTGACATGTTCCATACAAGTTGCACCTTACACTAGAGGAGCCATGCTTGTCTCACAGGGTGAAGAATTCAGAGGGCTGAGCTCCTGTTTAAGGTCTTTCTTGACAAAAAACTTTCATTAAAAGGCCCTTACTTTCTCAAATGAGGTCATATTTTAGGAGTCTGGTGCTCTCCCATTTTGACTTAAGCTAGGCTCGAGGCAAACAGAGGCCTAATATGATTTTTTAATGATTTAAACATGGCCTTTCAGTATGACTATACTCACTGCAGCAGGCCAGGATACCGCTCTCATGAGCAGCACTTTTGCTTTTGCAGCAGATTTCACATGAACCAGAAAAAAACCCAACCCCCAAACCAATCAAGGTCTCTATATAACTCATCTGAAAGGATCATTGGAGGTCTGCTACTTCTCCTTACCCTTGTACTAGGCATCTATTCAAAAACATGGTTCCAGGAACACAGGAACAAATGAAGACTGCTTTCCTATGGATTTATGCCTGTGATTAATTACCTCTGAGTCTAAGGTACAAGCTCTAATTGAAGCTGGTCTCATGCCTGGAAACTTATGTCTCTCCCTTATCTGGATTACTGGATATCAGTACAGAACGCAGTTTTCTTCTGATCACTCATCTCCACACTTAGAAGAATTCTAAAAATGTAGTGACTGTGAGATCTGCCAGATTTGGTTGAAATTAATTAGTTATTCTAAAGCTGAACGGCAGAATGATCCTGTATGCCGTGTTTCCACAGGGAGGTGAGAAAGGCACTAAAGCCTGGTTAGCTTTACCACCTCTTCTTGGTGGTAAAGCTTCTGTGAACAAACTAATCCTGCACTTACTCATGCTTTTTTAAAAAAAGAGCCATGACTCAAGATGGTTATTAAAACACTACCACCACCTTACTGAATATTTCTCAAGAGTAGTAAATCAGCCATTATTCTGTCAAAAGAATCACAATTTACAAGAAAAAGCACTTTCTCCCTATACCTTTCAAACAGAGACACAAAAGCAAACCACATTACTGAGCTTCAATTAAAACAAAAACCATTCAACAATTTTATCTTAAACTTGACAGCTCACTGGACACAAAACAATCCCAACACCCAGTTCTTTCCATATCTACCCTTTCCCTCAGTAATGATCTCAAATACAGAAAAGTGAGTTTGTTACAAGTACTGGTTTTTTTTCCCCTCTAAGTATTAAACTCTTCTGGGTTTTGTTTGAAGGTTTGACTTTTTTTTTAGAACCATACCTGTTCTTCCCTTCAGAAATCCTGTTTTGGAGGCTTGCAGAATCCCAATTTGAAGTTGCATTACATTTTCTTGATCTCCTCTTCAAAACTTGTCTGTAATTGGCACATGAAAAATATTATACACTGATTCTTTGTTGCAGCATTTTACTATTGCAGTACATACCTGCACTTTCCACATGCTCCTAGGGGATTTTCAAATGCAGCAGACATGTGGATACAATTTTTTTTTAATTCTGTTTTTGAAAGAAATCACGTATTCACCTGTATCTTCAATTACTCCTTCCTAAGAAGATGACAGTTGAAATTACTCAAATGTTTTCCCTGCAATGCAAAGCTGCCTCTAGCTTTAGGTTTTCCTGTTGACATGTTGGTCATGCATGAACATACCACAATAATTCTTCAGGTCATGAACCACTCATTTTGGGGGAATCTTGGTTAAGCAAAGGAGTAATTGTTTTTTTAAACAAGAGCTGCCATACAAACTTATGAAAATCATGTCAGATAATGAAATTTTAGTATTTTTCACTGTTTTTTTTTTAAAAAGAGGCACTACAAACATCTAAAGTAAGTCTCTTTGCTGACAACTTAAATTATTCAATGGGATTTCATCTCTTCACACAACTTCCTTGAAAAAAATAGGAAAATTTATCTTAACTGTCAACTTTGCAAGAGACACCAAAAGGAGTTCAGACAATCCTTGCAAAACCCTGAACAAGTCAGATTGACAAAAATATGTATGTTCCCAAGATGTTTATTTCATTTCTTTGAAACTTGGTGGCTTTGTACTTTTAATATTAGTCACAGAGTGTGAAATCACACTCATTTAAGAGTTGATGAGCAAACAAAATTTGTCATCATGTCATATTTTTTTGCATATGGGACTATACATCCTAGACCTGAGACAGAAGCATACTTACACTTTGAACAGAAGTCACTATTGAAAGCATTTTTATTTGTCTTATCCTAGATGTCAGCAAATAAATGCATTTTTTTTCATTCTACCTTTTGACAGCTCTTTAGTTGTATGGGAATATGGAATAGTTTGCAGGACTGCAAAGCAGCCATACACTCAAATCAATATTCCGAGGCACAAAAAATCCATAATGGTCTGGTAATTACAATATGAAGCTACACTCTCAGTCAATTTACAATAATGTCTTTTAAGATGCCTACTAAAGCAGCCCAGACATACCTGAGACTTCAAAAAAAGTCTAAGGACAGCTTTCAAAACAGGTAATTCCTGGTTAGTCTGAAGGCTCAGCTCACATGTGAATCCCTACTTTGTTCAAGGCTGGAACCCCTCACTGCTGCTTTCCCAATGCAGTCTGGTCAGGAAAGGTGCTTTTCATCCAAAGAAATTCCCTCTTCATTGACCAAATTTGTCCTTGAGGCAAATATGGCTCTCTTCATAGAGACAGTGACATCTTTTGCTAGACAGGCTCACAGATTAAAAGAAAACAACAAACACTAAGCAAACAGGGAAGCAATAGGCAGACAAGCCCTCGTTACTGCAGCCTGGATCCTCACACTTCTTGCACTTGCTGAACGCCAGAGCTACAGAACCTGGTATTTTCTGGCAAGGGAGAAAGAGAAATAAAACCACAGGCACAGAGGCAGAAGGAGACAGAGAAGGTAACTCGGTTACCTGAGGAAGAAGCAGATTTGATATTAGCTATGTGCTTGAAAGTTTGTTTTGTGCAAGTGTGCAGCCCAGTTACATCACGCAAACCAACAGCCTTGTTTCACACGTGGCATTGACTGCCATGCAAACTCCATGACGCTTTTCCCTAGAAGCACAAAAATGGCAGCAAAATCTGTCAGAAGCCTTTCCTAATTTAACAGAGGCTAAATTATTTCCCATTTATATGCAGAAATTAAGGAAATCCCCAGCAGCAAGTATAACCTCTTACCATTTGTATTAACAGCTCACTAAGTAATTTAGAATTTACCATCTTACAGGCACTGTATCATTTTTGATGTCTCTCAGTACCTCAGAGGAACAAATAGAGGGGAAACATTGTATTAACCTTTAAGTGATGCATATTTAACCAGTACCTCTTTAGACTAGCAAACAAATTACAATGGCAGTTAGAAAATAAAGCTCTTTTTTTTAATTCCTTTTTTCCTCATTTTCTACCAGGAGAGGCAAAACACAAGCAGCTGAATTAGACTGAGACACGTTATTAGAGCAGCGGGGACACAAGCTGACTGGTCTCTGCAAAATCAGACCAGTTGTAGGCACACATCAGTACAGTGACTGTGCAAGTTTCAGCAACACCAATTCTTATACCTGCCAAGCCAAGATGTCAGGCTTGTAAAAGCACATATTTGGCGTAAGTTTTAAGAACGTAATAAAACAGGATACATATTTCTGTTTAAATGCTTAACTCCATAAAAGCATATTTACCCAATACCTTTCCCGTTAAACCACACAGTCGCTACAAATTGTTTTAATTAGGCACAGCTTCCCCAGTAAAGGAATGCACCCAGCTAGATCCACTGTACAGTATAAAGGTATAGAGTCAGAAATACACACACGTGCATCTGACATATATAACAGTTATGAACAAATGATACTAATTCCTACCTGCAACATGCAGACAGTTCAGACTATTTAAAGACAGTTTAGAGTAGTTTCGGGGAACTTTCCAGAGAAACAGAAGATATTTAGTTATTCAATTTAACAATGATGTTCCCTTTATAAAACTGCCTGGCTTTCTGCTTTACCCTAAGGCATCTGCTGTCCAATTCAGTGGTTCACACGCAGAAAAGCATCAAGCAAAAATTACCTGCAGGTTTATAATTTTGGAGCAACCTTTACAACAAACACTACCAAATAAAGCAGACTGTTATTTCATTGGGAGGTATGACAGTTTGATCAACATTTGTAGACTCCTGAAGCAAGATGAACTACTGCAACACCCATCTCAATTGATTAAGACATGTAGCATTGGCTTTTCTTTGGTCCAGCTATATCGTATGGACTGAACTTGCAAGTGCCTATGTGGTATTTCGTCCTTTAATATGAAGTTATTAATCAAGCTTTAATTGAGGAAGCAAAGCTTAACTACTACAGTCACTACAGATTATGTTATGCCAAACTTAATACAAGAAACACTTTCAGATTCACTGAAGACTCACACCAAGTGTGTGGTTTCATGCAATGGAACCAATATTCATGTAACTATTGAGTTTGAAAAATTTAGCTAAATGCTCTAATTTTTCCTCAAAGCACATGATTCTAAAGCACTTGTTTAAAACATAAGCTCAGTGGTCTCCTTTTCTTGATGTGATACTCAAAGGTCCTTAACACCCCCTTGGTACTTCTCCCCCCCTCCCAGTTCCCTTTTCAGGGGTTTGAGGATCTGCCAAGGACAGTGCATAGTAGGGAAGGTCACTCGTGGGAAGGCAGAGCTTGTCAGACACAGCAAGGTTTTCTCTTCATGTTCAGCAACTTGCTTGGTTCAGATCTACAGAAAACAACCGAGTCACTGGCAGATGTCTCCCCTGGCAGAGCCAGCACTAACACATTCCAGAAACCAGTCCATCTTTTCCCTTTTTCTGCTCCCTGCTAGCTTGGGGCTTTTTCCCCAGCAGCAGCTTGTGATGGCAAACATTTGTTATTTTGTAACAAAACCATACTTGAATTATTCCTTTCCCCTAAAAAAGCCTCATAGGAAGAAGTCTTATTATATACATTCTAAACTGAGTGTGAAGAAAAGACCACCATCCCATGTTGTATTATCTTTTGTTATTATAAAAAAAAAAAGCCAAGAGGAAACCCTTGGTAAGAGTGGAGCATATTAATTATGACAAGACATCATGACATACCAGTGAGATTTAAAGGCCGCTAATAACACTTTTTGTAGTAATTAGTGCAAGATAGTTATCCCATATAAACAAATATTTGATGGTAGACTTCAGTGATAAACAATTCACTTGATGACATTTACATATAAATACACATAAATAAAAACCTACGTAATTTAGGTTTGTAGTTAACAAAAAGTATGGTCTGAAATGAATTAAATGTAATTGTATCTAGCTGGATCAAAGCTCTTCCTATAATGATACTCAAGTATGCGGGGTATGAAAAGCATAAATGTACAATTCTCAATTTAGTAAAGTACTACTCTATAAAACAGAATAATGAAAACAGCTCTTACATTTTAATGTAAAGTATAAAATCGTATATTTACATTTACATACACTTTACTGAACTACATTAGGTAGCTCATGGTAAAAAAACATCCCTTTTTGAAAATCTTGCAAAAAATACATCAACTGCAGATATGATCAAAAGTTACTAAGTTAGCAGCTGACATAACATCTGTAGTAAAAATATATTTTAGGAAAATACCTGGAAAGATCTAAACACCAGTAAACACTTTAAAACTATTTGTGAAGTAAAAATTGTAGCAAAACCCAGAAGAAGCTAGCAAGGGTAACAGGAACTATTGCATACTGCTCTTTAAGAGCCATGTAGAGACTTAGAACAGAAGCAGCAGATATGGTAGGAGTTTTGTGGCTAACACACCACAAAGTGGAAACCGGAGGAAAATAGGAAACCAGTTATCCAACTTCTCTCTCGGTTTATTATCATTTTTATGGGGAGAAGTATAAGAAGATGACAGAGTTCCTCTCACTGAGCTTATCCTCCATCAAAGGCTAAAACAAATTGGTAAAAGGAACCCAATTTCAAGAGCCTCGGACCCCAAACTTAGAAACATTTACCGTATGTACTTACAGTTCAGTGGACGATAAATCAGATTATTACACTACAAGTTGCAGGTTAACTTTAAGAGTTAACACTATTTTGCAATATGAAGTGCTTCTTAATATATATATCTATATAATATATAGATATTTGTAAAATACTCGTGCAGATTTGATAGAACAAACTATGGAGTCTTTTCTTCCCATTAACATTAAACTCTCAAGTCTTTTCTTCGCATTAACAGACCTTTACCTCCTACACAAGGAGTTTCAGGATTCAACAAGGATTTCCACAATATGATCAAGCTCATTAAGATCAGATTTACAATTAGAGTTAGAAGCTGTATTTGTTGGAGAAGAAAATGTTTCAAGCCCATCACAATGTCCCATTTTTGTGTTGCTCATCATGCCTGTTAACATAGTATCAAGATCATAGTAAGAATTGTCAACTTCTGAAAACAGATCTTCAACCGAATTAGGACTTTTATTCTCCAGTGTCTCAAATATTTGATCTAAAGATTTCTGAAAGTTTCCTTTATTTTCTTGTGGATTCTCCATTTCCCACACGTTGCTCTGCAGGTTTCTCGGAGCTTGCACTGAAGAGGCTGTTGACATAGTTTCTGAACTATCTTGTCCCTCGTCACCCTCAAAGTCTTTACTCAAAGTACCATAGCCTGGAACATGCTTTCCCTCAGCTTGTTCCCTAGATGAACGACAGAGGATATCTGTTGAAACAAGACGATCCAGGGATGTCTGCCCTGTACTCTGTGTATTTATCATCTGCCAAGTCCCATCCTGAGTCATTTCCTCTTGGATCTGACGTACCGTGTTGGCTATAAGTACCGAACGACAGAGGTTGGGTTCAACCAGCATGTGACACAGCTGAAGTTTAACCAAGGACATATCTAAAAGTGACTGCCTCTGAAGATTATAGGAAGGAATAGCCTTAATACCAGCCAGAGTCCCTTCAATATCTTCTTCACCATCAAAACATTTTCTCTTTAGTCCTCGAACAAACATTGTGTCCTGTTAAAAAAAACAAACAAATCTTGTACAACGTCAACAGCTCAGGAGGGAGGGGAGAAGCAAAAAAAGACTAAAAAACAGAACAGCAAATTTTAATCTTAAATTTAAAAAGCAAATTCTTTAAAGATAGAAACATCAGAATTGTCATACCAGGTTATAGAAAGCCAGTGTGGTACAACATGGGTCAGGAACATATGGACTGGGTCCCAAAGACGGCATTCAGGAACCAGGGGTGAGCAGGTCCACAAGGCATGGCATTGGAGAGAGGCAGGGGCTCCCAGCTCCTGGCTCCCATGAAGCTCCACACTTGATGGAAGTCAGGAGCCGCTGCTTCGCACAGAAGCAAACATCTCAATGGCTGTATTTCACCTACTGGAGAGGCAGTGTCTCCTCGCTCCTCCCGAGTTTCTACTGGCATGCTTAACCTCTAATTTTGGAAATAAAAATACAACCTGGCACACCATCTTTAAAAGATCTGACCCCTCCAGAATATTAACATGCCTAACAAAGCAACATGAAAGAAAATACTACGGGCAGCATTTGTGAAAAGATTAGCTTATTTTGGCTACACAGAGAGTAGTATCTAGATTTGTTCCATGTAACTTGAGACATTCAGCTGAGGTGCCCAAAGCAGTCCTTCTGGTTCCCTTACTCAGGTGAGGAGGTGAACTGCATAATTCCAATAAGAATTGTGCAAGTCCAATAAGGATAGTAACAGTCATCCTCCATATGGGCTACTATACTCCTTTCCCAGTTGACTTAAGACAGCAAAATTCCTGTATTCCTAGTTTAGGTTCACCAGCTAAAAATACACAGGCTGCATGCAGGCTTCTCATTATTCACATCTAAAAGTCACTTGCTGAACTTTCCAAGGTGTGCCTCTCAAGTACCAGCCTCAGCTCTTCTGAATTGCACTATTTTTGACAACAGTGCCTCATGCAAATATTGCAGCTGATCCTTGGAATACAAAGTAGCTTTTTTTTTTAATGCAGTAGGTATAATTTCTTCTAGTCTTATAAAAAAATCAGGCTGCAAATGAAAGCTGGTATCTGATCTTTCCATTTATGCTTCTTCGTTACTTCCCTTCTAAGTCTTCTGTCCTTAAAATTCCTGTTTGTCCAATATCTGGGGATTTTTTTTTAATGCAGTAACCCAAACAAAACACAGTTTTTCAACTAAAAGCTGATAAAACCAAAATACTATTGCAGTGTCTTTCTATATAATTTCCCATTTCCCTTGGTAAGCCCTAAACTCTACCTTGCTTTTCTGGTTGCTACAGTATATTCCATGTATTTTCTGAGAGCTCTCTCTCAGCTTTTCAGAGTCACTAAAAATCCACCAAAGGGCAACAACACTGTTCTTTTCAAAATACATTACATGCTTATCTACTGTGAAAACCTGGAGATAGCACAGTAGCGAGATAAACACTTGGTTTGACTCCGTACAACACTTCTTACATTGCTGTACGTATCCATGAAATAACCTTTTTTGGGATTTGCTGACTCTTAAAAGACTCCTTTCCACTGAAGGTACAAAACTCTTTAGAAATCTTAATGTGCAGAGACTACAACATAGAAGACATGAACTTGGTCTTATGGTTATTTTTCATTATTTCTTAAAAAGTTATCCATGGAATAACAATATATTAAACACTTTAGAAGTTTCTTTAAAAATTTTATCCTGTAACCTAACATATTTGCATAACTCTCATTAAATATAACCCATGTTTCTGCCTGACAGTGCCTTTTCCAGATTTTTAGACATTCCTGCAAACTTCCTATCAGAGGATATCCTATTTATGTACAGCCACTCACCCTCTCCTCCATGTGAAACAACCTCTAGAAAGATCTTTTGGGACTATTAACAAACCATGTCATCAAACATTAAACACTGTGCAGAGTTTGCAGTTTCTTTTATTTCAACTTATATTCTTGTGAAGAGTAATTAAAACTTCAATTGAATGTTAACCTGGTTTACATACACCTAATGTTTGGCATTTAAATGCCTTCGAAGGCACACCAACAGAAAACAGAACACAGCAGAAAACTTGAAAACCTCAATACATCACTCACACACTTGGGCATGTAGGAGCAGAGGAAAAATGTTTATGGATTCTTAAAGGTAAACCTTTCACAGCATTCACTGGGGGTTTTTTATAACACTTGCTTCCAATTAGTGTCTTACACCATAAAGCCAGCTCTTTGTCACCCTGTTCTTGCAACTGCACAAAATACTGTGTTATGGTTTAATTTAAGAAACAAAAAATGACATACCAGTAACTGTGTTTGATGTAGTCCTTCCTCTTCTCCCATGCTACTGAGCAAGAGTCCATACAGCAAAAGTGAGAGCACCACCTACCAAGTATGGGGAAGTAGGATGTCAGGCAAGGACAGGAGATGAAGAACAAAATAGTTTTGCTTTGATATCTCTATCCTCATGTCATTCCTACAAACTCAAATAGTACTATTAAACCCAATTCACAGCTAGAACACAAATTTGGCCAACAATACACCCAAAATCTGCAGCAGAAGGAAACTGCCAGTTTAATTCCAAGTCCTAGGCTATTACCCTGACCTTTGGACCAGCCTCTCCCTTATCCCTACGCCTTTTGCCATTTAAAGAGCAAACAAAATCTTCAGCGCTCATCTGAAACACTGAAGTGAGCACAAAAGCTACTGAAAGCAAGTTACTTTTGTTACAAAATGATACATTTTTCACCTTGCTGTACAAAGCCGTGCATATCTCTGCAGCATCTAGAGAAAAAGAGCAGGCAGGCACAAACCCAAAACTGAAACACAGCTAAACCAGAGAGAATTTTCCTTTACCACCACAGAAACTTTATGACTAAGATTTACTTTGCAAGATGACAATAATGAAAGTAATGACAGCAACGAAATTGTTTTAACTATAAAGGCTGAGTTTTTAAAACACATTTAAGGCAAAATAAGATTTTATATATCAAACACAACTTCCAATCATATGCAACAATTCCCTTAATTACTGAATCCAAAAAGAATGCTGTTTCAACAGGCTACAAAAACTTTTATGATAAACTATGAAAACAATTCAGATACTTTTCTAGACATGTCTGTACAATACAAGACAGTTCCGTGTCTGCAACTGAAATGCATACCTAGAAAAGAAACAAGTAAAGAGGATGCACATGGATATCCCCTCTTGTTTTCTACTATGGGTAGTAACAAACAATTTTTCAAGGGTGTTTGCTCTCAATATTGGGAGGGAAGAAGGTGGCCGACAAAGGACTTGCGGGTGGGGGTGTAGAAAACATGTTTTTCCTCAAGAAGCTGCATAGTCATTAAAATACCACAATGGAAAAAAAACCCCACCTTTAAACATTCTCAAGCCAAAATCCTTTGACTTGACCCCAAATATTCAGATTAAATGCTGTTATATCATGGAAACTGTATTTCAACCAACTCATAGTTTCATTCTCTTTTATGGACTGAGCCCACAGCAACATTCAAAATAGTGTCTCAAGGCATCTAAACTACAACTTCAGTCAGACACCACAGTATCAAAACAATAAACTGTTTTTTATTTCTGGCAAACACTTTATGACACTATAAAATGTCAGAAGTTTTTGCTCCCCAGGTATACTTTCAAAACACTCTATAAATAAAAAATTATCTCTTTGAGAGCCTGTATATGGTAACCATTTGAATCCCAAAATTTCTGCTTTCCTGTAGGGTAGTTGACATGGGCATAGACTTTGTTTAAAAAAAAAAACCACCCAAACAAAAAACCACCCCACAATAACTACAGGTAAAAACAGTGCAGTCACGAGAAAAACAAACTGGAATATTTTCTGGTGCTATTTGGTTTATCTGACAATTTTCGGGGAACAGGTTTTGGCCGTTCGCCTCCCAGAATAGCGGACCAATACAGGAGGGGACAGTTGAAGGAGCTCTTGGTAAAAGAGCCATTACCACGTTGACAAACTAAATGACAGGGGATGCTGGCAGACCAGTCCAGTCTGTAACCTATTTACATACTAAAGAAGGAAAGTTTTCCCATGCAATATAATAATGGGCATGTGATTCCAGGTTCTTCCCTAGAGCAACTGCCAAACCACGTGGACCTCTGTTAGTATAAACTTATGAGAGTATGTCCATCACAGCAATAATTTCTTTTGGTTCTGTTAACTGGCATACATATGTGCACCAGAACCCAAGTTCTCTGTAAAAGCACATTAACTTCATAGCCATTATCAGATGCAATTAAAACCTTGCACATAAATGACCTCCCGCAGGCTTCTCTGCGCTGTCTCCAACAAGCACTCATCTCAAGAGAATGCTGAATTTAAAACTTAATTAATTAAAATCTCAGTACGTTTTCCTATTGATTTATGTATTAAGGTACTCAAAAAGGCATTATCCATTGTGTAAAGACTGCTCCTGCTTCAGAGTCAAGGTGTTCAAAATCCCCCAATAATTTCAAGCATCTGCCTCTGCCCAAGAGACAATGTCTGGACTAGTTACATCATCTCCCATCTTCCACTGCTATCCCAGTGTTATGAGCTCAAACTTGGTGTGTTAAACTAGACCTCTGTTTGAAACAGCTATTAAAAAAAAAAAAAAAGCTGTCAAGGAGACAACAGCCAGCTGCAGAATAACACACCAGGAAAAAGGAATTTTGGTGTTTGCTTTGTTTTTAATAGTAGCACAGGGAGCACAGTATTATGTAATTCATTACAAGTTTTGGTTTTAGGATTGACAAATTCCCAGTCTGCTTTACAAATAAGGTGCTTGAAATCTGATCCGACTCTTACTGGAGCATCAACTTAAGGCATTCCAGATTCACACTCAATTCAGACTCATATAGGGATATGCTGCCAAAGATACAGTTAAGTACTGAAGGGGAAAAGCTGCTTCCCGTTAGTTGGGGTAACAGAGAAGACAGGGAATTTTAGCAGTGCTCATTTTTAGGAGAAAGCAGACAAGACCTACCTAGGCCAGTGCTGGAGGTTCAGTGAAGCACAGTCTGCCTTCTGTACAGCTTTAAGTACAGTGATGATGGCTAGCAAGGGAAGACAAGAAGGGGCTGTATCTCCCCTCTACCACTCTAATCCTCTCCACTCCAACACTGGCTTTTCTAAGAACCGTGGGAAGAAACCAAAGCTCTGTGTAATGGTGAAAAAGAGACAGAAAGAGAGCTACTACTCCTCTTTACACACGCACGTGGGCGCATATGGTGGTGTCGAGTTATAAGGTGGGATGCAGACACAGCAGAGGGCTAGCAGGGCTAGAAACATCCCTATTCGGACCGGGACAAAGGACCCTGTAAAGCTCTGGGGTCTGGTCCACCCCCGGGGCGTAGGGGGCTGGCTAGCAGGCACCTCTTCGGGGCACGAGGGATTCGCGAAGGGGCTCCAACTCCCGAGGAAGGGCAGGGTGGGCAGCTGGGGCAAGAGCTCGCGGAAACATAGACGGGGCCGGGGTGCGCCGAGCGAGGGAGCTCGGAAGCCGGGGGAGAGGCGGGAACGGCGGCGGGGAGCCGAAGGGGAAGCTGCCAGGCGGTGGGAGGGCAGTAGGGGGGCCGGGGTGGAGGGCGGGGGCGACGCGGAAAGCGCCGGCTGGGACGGGGGGACCAGCGGGAGGACCAGGAAAGGGGAAACGGGGAAGCGGGGAAACGCGGGAGCGGGGCTCTTGTCCCGCCTGCCCCGGCCCCTCAGCGCGCCGTTGCGGTTACATCATCGCGCGCGCTCGTCGCCGCCATTCTTGAAATCGGCTTGAACCCCTCCGGGGCTTCCGCGGCAGCTAGCCCCCAAGGGCCCGACCAGCCGCGCCCACCGTGACTCCCTCACAGGCCCTCGGCCGCCTGCTGTCGCCGCCGCTCGCGCAGGAACCTCCACCCCGTCTCCGCCTCAACCGCCCGTTTCCGCCGCCTGAGGACGGGCGGGGCCACCCAGCCGCGCCTCCCACCGCCCGCCAATTCTTATTGTCCCAAACCCCAAAAAGGACCGGCGGCCTGTGGGGCGGGCCTCCCGCGCACGCCCCACAGGTGCCGGTAGCGACCGCTGCTATGCTGCCCGCCAAGCCTAACGCAGCCGCCGCTTGAGCCGCTGCCGCTTGGCCATAGACGTTGTCCGCGCCCGGGCTTCCGCCCCCGGAGGCGCGTGGCGTTGCATGGCGGCCGGGCCCTGCCTTACGGCTCTGAGAGGCTGAGGGAAGGCGGGGGCGGGGGCGAGGCGGGGCGCGCCGATTTCAAACGGCGGCCAAGGGCCCCGCGGCGTGTCTGGGCTCTCGGCCACGGGCTCCGGCGGGAACAGGTTCAGACCTGGCCGTGCTGCAGCCCGCGGGGAGCCGCGGGAGGGGGGCGTTGGCGGCCCCGGCGCTCCCCGCCGTCAGGCGCCGCTTCCCCTTCAGGGCTGGGGAGCCCCCGGCGCTGCTCCCCGCCGAGATGTCAGGGGGGCCTCAGGACTCCATCAGCAAGGCCTGTGGCGTTTCCTGTTCGGGCCCGGTCGCTCGGCCTCAGGTCTCAGTCAAGCCGGGAACCCGCGTCCTTGGGGAGGGGGTGACGCCTCGCACACCGCGGGGAGCCGCTGTCCGAACACCAGCCCGGGTGGCCAAGAAGGCCCCTGGCATCCTGGCTTGTATCAAAAATAGTGTGGCCAGCAGGACAAGGGCAACGTTCATCTCTCTGTCCACTTCTGGTTCCCTCTGTCCAGGAAGGACATTGAGGTACTGGAGCAGGCCCAGAGAAGGGCAATGGAGCTGTTGAAGGGTCTGGAGCACAAGTCTTAGGAGGAGCAGCTGAGGAGGCTGGGGGGTGTTTAGCATGCGGAAAAGGAGGCTCTGGGGTGACCTTATCACTCTACAACTTCCTGACAGGAGATTGTACCTGGGTAGGGGTCGGTCTTTTCTCCCGTGTAAGCAGTGACAGCATGAGAGGACATAGCCTTAAACTGTGCTAGTGGAGGTTTCGATTGGACATTGGGAATAATCTCTTCACATCAAGAGTGATTAGACACTGGAACAGGCTGCCCAGGGAGAGTCATGTCCCCGAAAGTGTTTAAGGAAATACTGGACACGGCACTTAGCGCCAGGTCTGTTTGACATGGTGGTGTTTGGTCATAGGTTGGTCTCGAGGATCTGTGAGGTCTTTTCCAACCTAATCGCTTCTGTGATTCTGTCCCCAGAGCTGCCGCTGCCCCGCTGCGCTCACGCAACCCGCCCCCTATCCTCTGCCTTATCGGCCGCTCGTTCTCAGCCATTATAAGACACACCTAGCCCGTTGTTCAGCTCCTGCACCACTCTGGTCCAACTCCACTCTGGCTAGCCCCAGCACAGTTGCCTCTGTCGCTCTCCCGGCCAGAGCAGCTACGTGCCGGGACTGCCCTCCAGAGCTGCCAGAGGAAGGAGGGGGGCTGGCCCAGGCCTGCAGGGCTGCCGCAGAGGCGGCAGCTGCCGCCTCCCGCCCCCGGGGCGCGGCGGGGAGGCGAGGGAATGGAGAAAGGGTGGGATAGACAGCGGGAGCGGGGACATCAGCGAGGCTTTGGAGCTGAGGTCTCGTAGAAAAGGCTGTGAAACGGCAGAGCTGTAGCTTGGTATGATAAAGCAGGAGGAAATAGCATTTCCATGGCAAAGCAAGATCTGCCTTTGGGACGAGACAGGTTTCAAAGCGCAGTGTTTCCCCTTGTTTATTTACGGTTCCTGGCACCGCGCTTGTGGCATCCTGGTGCAAAAACATGATCAAAACTGTGCAGGAACAATGCCACAAAGAGATTCTCGTGCTCTGCCCAGCTCGTCATTGAATGTCCTGAGTTGGAAGGGATCCACAAGGATTTTCGAAGTGACAGCTCCTGGCCCTGCGCAGGACAACCCAAAGAATCACACCATGTGTCTGAGAGTGTTGTCCACATGCTTTTTGAACCCTGGTAGGTTTGGTGCTGTTGATTTTTAATGTTGGTAGTGTGATTTGTTTTGGGGTTTTCTTATATTTTATTTTTTCTTAGCCCCTGTCCTTTAATAAGGATTTCACTTGAGAAATAAAGGCATAACATCAAAACATGAAACATGACTTTGGATCTGATGAATCGATTAAGATTCTCAACTACAACCACTCTTAGCATTAGGCTTTCACTCGACTCGGGCATTTCTTTAAAAGTCTCTAAGTGACAAACATTTAGGTGTTTTCTACCATGATACCCAGACTTGCAGCAAGGAAGTGAAGTTTCCACATGCAATATATATACTCTTAACACATATTTGTCACTTTATAGTAACAGGACCACACCATATCCTTCATTATTATGGATCACATTATTGACCATGGTTTCCTTGGAAATATCATAATGTTCATCTAAGAAGCTCTTTGTAAGTATTCCCTCCTTGCAGCAGTGCATGCTGTTGTTTAACAGAGTGCATGCACTACCTGGATATATTTCCATACCAGGACCCTTGACACCACACAGATCTGAGTTTTTCATCAGTAGCTAGGCATTAGCCTAGCTGATCAGTTTACACTGTTATGCCTGTGGTTTCACATTGTAACACACAGCTCTCCAGGGTGGTTTTCCCATGTTGGAAATTGAAAATCCCCTCCATGACATCATGTTGCATTAACTTCAAACTAGAGATCCTTACAGTGGCTCCTGGACAGTCGAAACAGTGGTCTGCTTTTCCTTGTTTTTCTATCACAATATTTTCTGGCAGGCCTTAGCCTTTGAGTTCAACTAAACCAACACAGTGACCTGAACAGATGAAAACTGTGTCTCCTTCATAACAAGCATTTACAGCTGACAACAGGTCATGGTGAAACTGTATTTCTAGGTTTTCCCCACGATCAGCTACAAGCCCAGAAGACACATGGTGTTCAAGGATGTCACAATGCAACCTCAGTCAAGGCTCAACACATCACACAAAGCAATCAAAGTCATCCTCCTCATCCCAGTCCTCCAGATGCACTGGTAGAAGAACCTGACGTGCTCTATAGCTTGTGCTGTCTGGTCAAGCTCTCCTGATTCATACACAATCCACAGCTCCTGCACTGGTACCTGACATCCCTTCAGCTTCAAGGGTTCCTGCATGTGCTCCAAGGCAAAGCTGCTGTCCTATGACTTGCACAGGACAGGCTCTCTGAGTTGCACAACTGCTTTAAGAGCTGAGTAGTTCACACCAAACACCCCAATAAGAACCTCAATCATGCCAGATTTCCTGCCATCCACACAGTTCAAGGACTTTTTCCAGGTACTCAGCTGTGAATTGTTTCACCCCAGAAGCTGTACAGTGTTAAGGAAGAGTTTGGACCCTGGGTTGGCAGAGGCAGAGTTTGTTGAGCTGGTGCCTCTGGAGAGGGACCCAGAACAAAGAAATCCAAGGGCCTTTATCCCTCAGAATCTCTGCACCTGATTCTTCCCGTGCTCCTTACTTGCCTAATAGTGTGGAGTTTTCCAACACCTCATTGGATTCTTTCTCCATGTCCATGTGGGCAGGCCATTAATTGTTCTTTTCTTCCAGCTTGGGGCCCTCCAGGGCTTCAACCTTATCTGAAGATAGTCTTTCTCTGTTTACTCCCCTGCTTAGCTCTCCATGCTTACAAACAATGCATTTAAAGTTCCCAGGCTTTGACCAGGGCCCACTCATGCTAAGCTGTAAGCAAGTTACAATTAAACTTAACCCTAGACTACTAATGTCTAAAATTCTATAAGTAAACTTAATTTAATCCCCAACATGCAGTCAGCCAAGATGTAATCCTGGCAAGATCTAAATCACTTGTGAAGCAAAAGATGATTGGTGTGAAAAATATCTGGAAAAAGCACATTCCCGTCTGGCACGGTCCTTCCTAAAAACAGTCCCTGGTTTGTCAGGACTGCCGCAGTCACTCCAGGAGTCATTGCTCCAGACACTGTCAGCATCTTCCTGGAGCAGACCTAGGGCTCCCTCTCAGTGCACTCAGGCAAGCCACCACCTCTGGCAGCCAGCAGCAGGGCCTGACCATCCCCCCACAGCCCCCTGGCAGCCCTAGCTCGGCAGGAATTCAAAGAGGTGTTCCCACAACAAATCCTGCAAGAACCTTTGAGCCTCCATGGAGGCCCCTCTCGAGGCAGTATGAGGGCTGTTCCCTGGAGGATCACTGCTAGAAGAGTTCATTTGCTTGGCTCTTTGTAGTGATAGCATCATCTATACAGTAAGGTACTTAAGTCCCCTCTCCTTATCCCCCTTTTTTTTCCTTCTGATTAGCTACAATGACAGGATCTTGACTGTTTTGTTTGTGGGTTCCCCCCCCAGTAACCTCATGAAACAAGAGGATGTCTTATGGCTTAAGAACTACATCATCTATGTTTCTGATTAAACCAGTGAAAGAAAAATTGTGAAAGGCTCTCCATTTTCTTTGAAAAGCTGAGAAAC